CGGATAAATTATGAATAGTGTTTCAGATAAAAAATTAGAAAATTTTAAACTTTCTAATTTGTTATTTTAATCATATAAATATGTTTTAATTGGATAACTTGAATTTTAAAAAATAGAGAATTTTTAAGCTTCAAAATAAAAATAAAAAATATTTTAAATTTTTATAGGATGACAATATAATACTAAAAACTACAAACATAATTTTATAAATTTGAAAGTAAACGTTTTAGATCATTTACAATTATTTAGAAGAATATCATGAAAATAAAATGTAAAATAAACGTTAAAAAAATCACCCGAAATAGGAGTAAAATATAAGGAAAGTAGCAAAATAGAAGTTCTTTCTCTATACTCTACTCATATTTATGGTGATTTTTTTAAAATTTATTAAACATTTTATTTACAGGATATTCTTCTAAAGAATTTTAAATAATCTAAAATGTTTACTTTTGAAATTATAAAGTTATATTTATAGTTTTTAGTATTATATTGTTATCCTATAAAATTTATTTTTTTGATATTTAATATATTTTTATTTAAAAAATGAACCAATTCAAGAAAACAACCTAGTTTGAGAGTACCATTTTAGGAAAGTAGTATATAGCTTAACATTATTTTAACGCCGTTAGTCAGGAGGATTGAACTGAGTATTATTCTCAATTAACGAGAATTGGCGCCATTTCTGGGAAGAGGCTTTTGCATCGGTTTAACAACCGATGCAAAAAGTAACCTGAGCATTTGCATCGCTGGCTTTTGCATCGGTTCAAAACCGATTTAAAAGGGTAAAAATAAACAATTTAAAAGGTCTTTTTTGTAGTAGTGGTACCATATCAGGAATTAGTGAATTTTGGAGACTAATTTTGAAAAAACACATAGTTATTGAATAAGATTTTGAGAATTTACTCTTTCTATTATGTTATTAGGATTTCTTAAGAAATCCGTTCACGTGTTCAGTGAATTTTAGATTGTTGATAAATTTAGGAGAATTTACCTAAACAGTACTAAATTTAAAACATAGCGAATTTCACAATGTTGTAGCATACTCCGTATATTTTTATTTCCAAATGTAATACCACTGGTCATTGTCTAGTGGTCATTGTTCAAGTAAATGTTTATCTCTACTGGACATTGTTAAACTAAATGTCCACCATCACTCGATACTGTTCATGCCACTATTAAGTGAATTTCACAGTTCAAGTACTCCCTCCGTCCCAAAATAAATTGCCTATTTTTCTTTTCCGTTCTTATTTTGGAGTACTATTTGGGATTTAAAAAAGTAGGGGTGTAAACAGATATTAATCGGATCGGATGCGTCATTACCAAATCCGCATCCGTTTATTTTTGTCAGATATCGAATTCGGATACGGATCTTGACAGATACTGAAAATCAAAACCGTATCCGCATCCGTCGGATATCGGTTGGATATTAGATATATCCGTATCCGTTTCCAATTTTTAAAATCAAATTAAAAAATACTTTAATTTTAAATTAGATTAAAGTCAAACTATTATTAAATCAATTATAATTTGTTATGGGATAATTATTTTCTTTGCTTTCATTATTTATGATATCTACTATAACTTCATATGATAAGAAGATACACAACACACATATTCCCATATATTTATATGTCTATACATATTTTATGTGTTTACACATTTATTTTGTACATAAAAATGTCTTATATTTTGAAAAATCAATAGATAAACAAAATATAAACAAAAAAAATTAGGAAAAAATATATATAACAGATCAGATATTCGGATAAACGGTTATTTAAACGGATGCATATTTGGATCGGATTTTAAACGGATGGGATATACAATTACCAAATCCGTATCCGTTTAGTAATCGGATACGGATAATATCCGTTTAAAACAGATGCAGATTTTTCCCCTTTAAACAGATACGGATGGGGATGGTAATCAGATTTTCAGCTATCCGTTGACAGCCCTATAAAAAAGTTTAAGTACTACATTGAGAAATGGCATACTCCCTCCGTCCCATAAACCTTTCTCCTTTCTTTTTTCATCCGTCCCATAAAACACTTCTCATTTCTATTAAAAAGTCACTTTTACCCCTTACTTTTTCATACCCTACCTATCACATCATACCTTTTTACTAATAATATACCCATCAAATCCTACTTTTACCCATCATATCAAAGGACATTTTTGGAAATTCAATACCAAAATACACTCCCCTAAATGTCTTCAAAAAACAAAACATCCCATGTTTCATGGGACGGAGGGAGTATGTTTTACTACTATTCATTGTTAATTTTATAAAAATCACCCTAAATAGGACTAAAACATAGAAAAATGTACCAAAATAAGACTTTCATGTTTTTTCCCTGAAATAAGACTTCGCAATGTGGTAATGTGACACTGTACATGTGCACATTACTATACTTTTTTGGTAATATACATGATCATGTTTGGTAATGTAAGTCCTATTTTGAAAAAAAACATGAAAGTCCTATTTTGGTATATATTCAATGTTGTCTTTCTCCCTACATTTTACATAAATTTAAAATAATTTTTTTGTTTAGTTTTACCTCGCGTCATAAATTTTGCTTGGATTGTCTTTATAATTTTTTCCTTCAAAAAATAGTGGTGAGTTTTATTTAAAAAAAATAAAATGTACCCGGAGCAAATATATACGGAGTACATCTTATAAAAATACGGAGTATATACGATGAATTGTCTTGGTTTTATAAAACAATACTACCCCGTATGAAATACAGAAATACTCAGTACGGAGTATTTTTTTTCTAATAAACCAGAAGTACTTGATAGGGCCTTCCTTCCCCAAGATATTCTCAAGCTTTTTATTTTAAAATTTGCGGATTCAAATCTGTTGTCCCACTTTTCTATGTCACTCTCCTTAGATGAGATCCAACGTTTAGTTTTTACTCTGAGTAATTTTTTTCAATACTAATTAAAAAATGGTTCTTTTGATCTTAGAGCCTCGGGCTATATTATGTTCTAGGATGTCTACGGTGATCCTTTCGTAAAATGGATGGTTTCCATCGTCCTCCTAAACCTTATTGCCCCCACCACTACAACACCCCTCCCCATTTCGTCGAGGGGCTACTGTATTACTGAAGCAAAATAGGGAGGGAAGGCAGGGGTAGGATTTAGGAGAAAGGTAACAACCATCAATTTTACGAATGGAGCATTATAGATGCCCAATTCATAATATGACCCGAGGCTTTAAGGCTAAAAGAACCATTTTGATATATATATATATATATAATATATATATATATATATATATATATATATATATATATATATATATATATATATATATATATATATATATATAATACTCTCTCTATCCACCATAGATCTTTTCATACACTATTCACAAGGTCAAACTTTTCATGTAGTTTATTAGTACGTAGATTTTATATTAAAATTTTACCCCTATACTCAAATAAATTGAATTGAAAATAAAGTAAGTCAAACCTCGTAACGCGCAATGGGAAGATTTTAGGTGGACGGAGGGAGTATTATATATTGAGGAAGTGTAAAGTTACACCATCCGTGACACCACTTCAACCGGGGCACCTACGGTACTCCGTTCGTAAAATTAACGGTGTCTACCCCTCATAAACCCCCACCCCGATCTTGCTACTTCACGACCACCATAGCCCCCCGCAATTGAAGCGTATAAGTTATTTTGACATTTGGGTCAAAACTTTGATCGAAAAAGTCAACAAAACTTATGGGAAGAGTATATGCATTTTAAAAAGTGAAACGCCCATCCTGGGTGCTTCCACACCCCGACTCGACAAGATTGTGAGAAGAGTAGTAAATCATCTTATAATGTGCATTTTAAGCATCCACGCAATGGGCAGTCTAGCTACATAAATGAATTTGTTTTGATGTCTGCCAGCTATATTAATTATAGCTCCACCTTTACTGCTCATTACTTCCGCTGTGAATTGCCCATACTACTTCATCTATGTTTTTTTATATAAAAAAAGCCTCAAGGTCCTAAAAAAACAACACAAATAATTTCAAGTAGAGTAATTAAGGTCTCATTTGACATTAATGTTAGAGGTAAGCATTAACATTTTGAAAAGAGTATCTGACGATAGCCTTTAACGTTAGCGTTTTCAAAATTAATCAACACCATTAAATTTTTTATCTAAAACGCTAATTGAAAATACTGCTCCCAGAGAAAATCTAAGAATAAAACAACAACATCAATAGAGCAGTGTAGTTCCACAAATAGACACTGAAAAAGATGGGATAAATGTACCTAAACTTTACTTTTTACCTTGAGGCTCATACAAGTTTGGATAACATTTTTTGAAAACAATAATGGCATTTTATATGTTAGAAGGGCCATATGATAAGATTTATTGCAGACATGATTAACATATTTACTTGTGGAGTACAAATTATGGAACACTACCCCAACCCCATAGAGACCACAATGAGATGAACTGCACGTATGGTTTCGTTTGGTAAAGTAGGGCCAACCCTTTGAAGCAGTGATGTGAATAACTTGATAACATTTTGTCTTCATCAATCCCAGTGGATAACTGTCAACTTCTGGCCTCCTCTCTGATAATGAAAGTTTTTTTTATTTTTTTGCCCAGACAGCGTAGCTCAGGTGGTTGAGAGGTGGGGGGCAAAAAAGACAAACCCGAATTCGACTCCTAACAACGATGATAAAGAATGGCCATGCTATATATGGGATTCGTGCACGTACCAGGGAAAAACCTCACTTCCTACCGATCATCTCGAGATTATAGCTTCATTTGCCTCCTCCGAGCCTACTGTCCCCTAGTGGAGTTGAGGCCTTGTCACTTGTGCATCACAAAAGCACATATTAGTTCCAAGCTTAGGGTGTTTTTTGTTTTCATGTTCTGCTTTGGTTTAGAGAATCTTGAAACAGAACACCTATTTGATTCTAGCTGACTTTGAGAATTGGAATCAACTCCAAATAACTAAAATAAATGCACCCTTAGTCCAAACATTCAAACACCAACCATGCTTTCTTGTTTTTGAGGAATCAAGCAACAATTAATTATAATATAATGACATGAAAAATTTAACAGGTGTAGAAAGCAAATGAATGTTCAGCAGAATGTATGAGTTTATTATTCTAAATGCTAAAAGAAAGGAGCTTTGGATTCATGTACAAAAGAGGCATTGGGTAAAGAGCACATCATTCAATATCTTAAAGATCAGTTTTTCCTGCAATTTCTTCTTCTTCACTGGAAGAAGCACAACCGTCATCTTCGCTTAGCTCCTCATCACTAGACTTTTCCTCCGGGACGACCCCAGCATCTGAAGCCTTTGCATGTTTTCCGCAGAACTCTGAAAAGTAAAACAGGATGACATCACGAGTGATGTTATAGTGAAATTCAACAATGATTCTCATGAAGTATAGATTAATCTTCACGTAGTGTGATAAAAGTTGTACAAGTGTATCCTAAACAATCATAGTGTAAGAACAAACGTTGGCATGTTATGGGGTGCCAAAACCATGGTTATTATATGTTCACATCATATAAACAAGAAGTAGGCTTTCATTGTCGGGTGTGCTTTGAGGAAGAATCGCTCTTTAAGAATAAGAAGCATAGACCATCTCTAAAACCACAATTCATGAATATATTTGACAAAAAATGCCAAAAATCAAGTGTGCGGATCATTTTAAACAGGAACTGAGATTTAAGACGTAAACAGTTAATGTTATATGTTTGAATTGGCAAATACTACTTGAAATGGGAACTTTCTTACCCAGTATTTTGGAAGTAATATGTGGGTCGTATTACGAAACTTGAAAGTTTTAGAACAAAGACATCATTGGGATACAGGAGTCCAACAAGAGGCAGCAAATGGAATCTGAGTATAAAAGCTTTCATATTTCCATTGCCATGAAGAAGGAGAGTTAATTATTGAACATTGGTTTCTTTTGCTTTTTACTGAAGTAACTGAACTTTAAGCCTCCCGCTGGAGATCGAGTGACGTGGCACCACCATTGGTTGAGAGTTAATCACTGTGTTCTCCTCTCTCAACAATGGTATGTTTAAAGTTTGACCTGCCAGCACCAGTCAATTCCTCTCCATTTGGTGGCCTCACCAGGAAACTTTGGTTGTCATTGGCCACCACCACATGACTCCAGCTGCCCAGGAAGGAAAAAATTGAAAGACAAAAAGGGAGAAGAAGAGAAGTAAAATCCAGTTTTATGTTCAAGTTTTCAAGGGAGTTCAACTGAATAAAAAAAGTTAAGTTCAATTATGTTGATGATACTTGTGTAGGCATCAACACTCGATTAAGGATCAAATTTCCAGCATTCAGTTTCAAAGATCAAGTTTAGTATCAAGCTTAGAATATACTCCATATTTGGCATGCTTAAGCTAGAGGATGAGTGTTAATGAAAGGTAAATAGAAATATTTGAGCATCTCCAATGTTGGAAGTCCATTGCATCCCAAGTGAGATCCCACCTCAGAAAAGTAGGGATTGGGAACTATTCTCTCCAATGTTAGGTCCCTACACTCCCAACTCTAGTCCCGTTGTACACAATTTAACAGTGTAAATATAAAAAAAAACTGAAAAGAAGGTCCAAACTTTGTAAAATGTCTCCAACGCAGAGGAATTCGGCGTGGGATGCAAGATAGGAGAGAGAGGGTGAACCAGTGAAGTTAGGGCATGACTAATGGGGAGGAAAGAAGGGGGAATAGGATGATGTGGAGCGAGAAAGAGAAGAAGAATGATAAGAAAAAGGAGGAGAATAGAGGAGAGAAAATAATATTCCACGAGAGAAAATATGTGATTGGTCAATTGCTCTTTTATTTATTTATTTATTTATTTATTTATTTTTGTACAAATGTGGAGATGACATGTGAGAAAAAATAATACGGAGTAAAAAAGTAGAAGAATGATTACAGAAGGATGGGAAGGTTGAAGAAGAAAGTAATTTGGCATTAGAAGTAGATGATGTGGGAGGGGAATGGGTAGTGATGCTCTTAGGTAGGTTTATAAACCCTAGGTTAATACCATTAACGTTAGACCCATTATTTTTCTCTATAAGCCTTTAAAAAATAGGAAGTTGCGTGTTTTATCTAAATAATTTTATCTGAGTTCTATCTCAATTAACGTTATACTATACAACAGAAAACAAATGGTCATTCCTTGCAAGAAAAGAAAGAATATCTAATTCCTAATATTCAATGACATCAAGATCTTCATCATACCTTAGGGAATCACTCAAAATGGTAAACAAACAATAAAGAAAAGGATCTAAACTTTTGAGAAGCATAGTCATTCAAAGCAGCAGATGAATCCTGCAATGACTCTTCAAATTTTGTATCAGTAGGAATAGTACTCTCTCGGTGTTGTAAAATCCTATTAGCCCTAGGTCTGTTTGTTATTATAGATATTCATGATCACGTACAACATTGGTGAGGTTAATAATAATGCACTGCTTCGGTCTCCCTGTTTCTATGGAATCTGTAAAAAATCTTTACTGTCAAGGGTACAATGGTAGGAAGGGGATTGCATATGATCACAGTGACTACACTTAAGGTAACGAAAGTAGAGAACCCATTATAATCCCAACTCTGTTGGGATCTGGGTGTCAAGATATATGTGATCTTACCCCTATTAAAAAGAGAGAGGCTGTTTCGGTTAGACCCTTGATGCATTGCTGCATCTAGCCATCTAGTACCCAAAACTTCATAGAGAGTAATAAGCACAGGAAATTCAATGTGCTATTTTGAATTAACCCATTATTTGTCCGAAACTAAAACATTGCAAAAATGACTACTTGATTAAAAAAATATACTAGGCGAAAACACAAACTCAAAAAGTTCCTTAAGAGCTTCCAATTGATTGGAACTGTGATAAATTCAGTAGCTGACACACTTAAAAGCAATCCATTGGACATAAATGTGAATTCTTGTAGAAAGAAACACAGAAGTGTAATGATGCATCAATGAAATTGGTATCTATATTCTCAACCAGAAACCATACGGGTTTCCATATAAATGCAAGGCAACAAAAAACTCTGGATGAACTTTTAGTTACCTTTCACTCTTTGTTCGTATGTAGCCCTATCACGCATCATCAAGGCAGCAGCCTCTCCATTAAGTGGGTCTGATGGGTTAGGGTACAAAAGAAGTTGAGGAAGAAACACTTCAAACACATTTACCAGATCTGCAAGGAATGTGAACGTCACCAAACGGGAACTGGGAGTTCTTATACAAGAGAAAACCTTTAAATCATTCCTTACCAAACATAGGGCTCCATGTCTGATTTATAACATCTAAACAAACCGAGCCTGACCTGCAAACTCAAAAGCATCAAAGTGCAGATTGGTATATCCATCTTCTATAAATTCCATGCAATAAGACAACAAGTTTATGCAAACAACGTAAACTATGGGAGAACAGTATCCACCAACTCACGTTTCATCAACGTTTGGATGATAAATCTTATTGACAAAACCAATAGACGGCGACTTATAGGGATAGGCATCTGGCAGTTCCACCCTCACTTTCCACACACCACCTTGATAAGGACCTGTCACAGATGACATGACAGAATGCAAACATTGCTAACCGAACTTTGGAAGAAAACATGGCGAGTTTTATGTTGAAATTACCACACATTTCTTCAGAATAACATAAAAATTAGGACAGCAAGACCTTCACTGGGATAACTCAGTGAACAGAAAAATCATGCACAGTCATTATAAATAGAGTAAATGGCACTCAAGAAACTTCAATTCAACACAAAAGTTATGATAACACAATAACCGATATTTATCACTTAATGGTAAAGTAAATTGATCAGTTCTCTACTAGTTACATCTATGAGCCAAATGATCCAATTCAACACAAAGTAAAAACTTCAGTCACCAAAGATTTAACTTCAACCCACCAGAACAAATGCAAAAGCTGCATCCTTTTCAGGTGAATCGAGGGAGATATAGTTCCAAACAGCCAAATAGAGAACACAAAATGCATATTTTAATTCACAACAATCCAACCTAACTCAACACACACACACACACACACAAAGGGAAGGGAATTTGAGGAACTTTACTCTCTTTCGGCCCATGAAATTCTACATAGAATTCCTGCATTCCATCATTGATCATCTCGACCTTGTAGTCGCTCATCATCCTAAAGCTCCCACAAATAAAATTAAATTCCGCAGAGTAAAAATCCAATGATTTTTTTTCTAAAACAAACAAAAATAAATCTGAAGAAAATAAAAAGAAGATTCAAATTCTGAATTTGGGATGAATTACAGTTTCATCAAGTCCATTTCTCTGCGCTTGCTTGGTGAAGACATGATTACTTCCGGTTATGGTTCGTTCTCCTTCAAATTTCAGAGTTGAGAGATTATTAGGCGGAAAGGGCTCACACGCAAATAGGAACGTACGAGTATATACCGGCGTGCGAGAAAGAGAGAAAAAGGTCGAGATTTTCCAGAGGCGGTTCAGACACACTGGAGTTAATGGTGGACTGAACTCTTCTGCCATTTTTATGAAGATAATTTTCTTTATCTTTTTTTGTTGAAGGAATTTGTAAATTAGTGTGCTGTTGTGTAGATAAAATTTACTTTATATTGTGTAATAAGTTGTACTGGCCCGTGGGCCTTCTCTTGTAAAACCCTACGAATCTCTTCCCTATATAAGAGAGCTATTATCAATAGAGAAAGGACATCTCCCACAACACGTTATCAGCACGAGCTCAACCCTAATTTTTTCCGTCCGCCTCCCTCCCCTGTTTTTTTCTTTTCGCCGATCTCTGCCGCTGTGCATCGCATCGCCGTTCTCCACTGCATCGCAGAGGAAAAGAACCCCATCTGCAAATCAAATCGGAAGGATCTAGCCAGCCCCACCCATTGTTCTGCCGCACATACCCCTATCAGGCATGAATCGAGGTGAATTTGAGTGCTTAATAGATAGTGGGACTACCCATACCATTTTGCGAAATAGGCAACTATTTGTTAACTTGGTAGCCGATAATTCATCTGTGACAACAATGATTGGTTCGTCACATGTAATTCAAGGACGTGGTACTGCCATTTTCTTACTCCCTAATGGTACATTGATTAAAGCCATAAATGCTCTATATGCACCTAGAGCTACTCGAACGTTGTTAAGTTTCAAAGACATCCGTGACAATGGCTTTCATGTTGAAACTCATTGTGAGAATGGTATTGAATACCTTTACATTACTTCTAATGAATGCGGAAGAAAACGCATCTTAGAGAAGTTTAAGGGTAAGAGTAGTGGACTGTATATCACTAAAATTCGAATAATTGAATCTTATTCTATAAGTCATGATGACATAAGGGATACTGAACGATATAGACTTTGGCATGA